GGGGGGGGCTTCAGCCCGAAAGCCCCCCCCGTAGATCCGCCCATGGAGGAAGGTATACTAAAGATTTTTTACCTCTTGAGACCATACATATGGCATTTAGTAATAAAACAGTCTCAAGTAATGAAAACAGTTATAACTAATAAATTTTATAACTAATAAATTTGAATAATAAATTCACTTTTCTTCCTCTAAAACCCGGAAGTAAGTCCTTCGGCTCTGTCTAAGTAATAAGAAATTTAATCACAAATTCATTTCATGAACCATCAACTGAAGTAGTAATTATACTCCTTGGTACTAAGACAGAGCCAGTATTTGAGTAAAATACTCGGTATTTATTACGCAGAGAGTTTTTTACCCAGCTCTGAATGAAAGTGTGTAAAATACCGTATTTAGAATTATGGCAAAGGAAAAAAAAAAAATATATATATATATATATATATACATATATATTATATATAGAGAGAGAGATATAGATAGATAGAGAGAGAGAGTGATGATAGTGAGTGAGTGAGTGAGTGAGTGAGTGAGTGAGTGAGTGAGTGAGTGAGTGAGTGAGTGAGTGAGTGAGTGAGTGAGTGAGTGAGTGAGTGAGTGAGTGATGATAGATATAGAGATATAGATAGAGATAGATATAGATATAGATAGAGATAGAGAGAGAGAGAGAGAGAGAGAGAGATGTCTATATTTTTTTAATCAAATTACAGAATGCCTACTGATTTTGACATTGAATCAAACCGAACAAATAATTATTATTCTAGATTTTATTTAGCTAAGCCAGCAACTATTAAAGAGAATTGTCATGTCATAAATTTTTTTATATTACCGAAAAGATTGGTTGAAGATATAACAAAAACAGCATCTTGAACATATAACTCGTAGACTTATATAACTTTGTCCCATAATAAAGTTGATATTTCTATTCTAAAAAGTTACCTTTAACATAATATCTTGACCAATGTGTGAATCTCGCGAAATATTTTTAATATCAATTTGAGTTAACAAATCAGCAATTTGTATTAAAATAGTATGTACTCATATAACAACTAAAGGCTAGTATTGCCCAAATGCCCAAAAGTCTTGATCTGGGTCTTGGTCTTATGCAAGAGTCTGGCAACAGTCTTGCAGTTATCTATTAGCTGAAACTATAGAGATATTACTGTAGTTTTTCAAATAGGGGGAACCTCACTAAAAATTGGAAGAATTAAATGCGAAAGTATTTTGATTATACCAATTCTTTACATATAGTAACTAAAATTGTCGACTATTTTCCCTTAATTTTTATTCACAAAACGATTTTGTTTTACAGTCTTAGTCGTGGTCTTGGTCTTGCAAAGTGCAAGACCAAGACAGATTTTGGGCAACACTACTAAAGGCCTCTAACGCTATCGACCTTCACCGTTAGATACCTACTACATTCAGAGCACCAGATGACCTTCAAATACCAAAAATTTAATTATAATTTCAAATTTATAATGTAAGTATGGACAATTCTTGTCTTCTGATATTACATGAGTAATAATGAAATTATGATATTGAAGCATCACAACTAATAAGAGGTTGAATAAAAATGATGACTTAATTATATGGATGACTATACCATAACGCTAACCTGTTTGTCTAATAATTTGTATTTTTATGATAGTTAAACTAATTTTCCAATAGTAATTAGCCGATTCCAATTCATTAAGTGACCGTTTAAAAAAATAGAATGGAGCAAGGTCGACAAGTTCGGATTCCGCTTCCTAGTTTCGAGTAAACTTAAAAAAAAAAATTGACTCTAAAAATTATAGTCCTATTATGTCGTAACCGCTTATATCGTCTAAATCTTTATTGCATCACCAACAACATCTTCCTAAAGTTTAACAAATTCCAAATAAATAAATATATTAATGTAATTAATATATTTCTTAAATAGCACGTAACCAATTAATTTTTAGATTATAAACCACAGGAGAATCTACGCGGACTTTCAGACTGAAGTCCCCCTCCCCTAAAGTCGAAAAATTATTTAACTTTCATTGGTACATATATGTTACTGTGCTTGCTCTAAGCTAAATACTTAAACAATTACAAGATATTCTATTTTTAAATGTTAATTCAAATACAGCTGCTAAATATAACCAGGTTTTTTTTTTTTTAAATATCTCTAGAAATATTATTGTTTGTGTGACTATATTTTTCAAAGAACTTCAAGAATCACTTAAACAACATTTCGTATACGTAGTCAGTTTCTTTTTTTTTCTCCCAAGTAATCATACATAAAAAGCTTTCGGGTTGAAGCTCCCCAAAAATTAAATCCTGGATCCGCTAGTGTAACAAAACATATTCAAATAGAAAACATTAGAAAATATATCCAATTAGTATTTTGATACTCATTTTCAGTTACAGATGAAAATTTAAACATTATATTAACATTCTTTATATTATATTAACTTCATAATGTAACTGTTAATCTTTACATTGCATCGAGCGAGGGTGTGCGCACAGATTGGTATTAATAGAAGGCAAGACAGACTAAAGAAAAATCTCAAGTAGATAAATGATATTAAGTTGTATAGTATTATACTAACTAGAAAACTCTTGCGAAAAATTCGCACAGCATATTTTTAAGTGATCAAATGTCAAATTAATAAGAAAAGAAAATAATGCAACGTATCATTAGATAAAGAAATCAATTGTTAATTTATCGATAAATATAATCAACAAAGGAACAAAAATTAATTTAAAACTTCATTAATTTTTGGAACCAACATGTTTACAAATTTCAGTAAGCTGTAACTTTGGTAAAAATTGTTCGATTTTTTTTTTTTTTTTTTTTTCCTTTTCACCAAGGGAAAAGTGTGTAATTTTTTAGTTATTAGCAAATAAAGTTTCTTTTCTTACATAACATTTCGCTTGAATTTTTGGGGTGATTGGACTATTTCGCCCGCCTGAAGGAGAAGGAAGTCTTCAAAAGTGGTGGCTCAATCTTGAGATTTGGTGTAAAATTAACGATGATGATGCTTATCGACAAAAAACACCGATAAATAATACAAACTCCTCCTCTCTCGATCATAAGGGCCTCAAGTCGACGAAATGAGACATGTATTCAATGATAGTACTACAATTAACGGTTGTGTGGATGCGAACCCTTCGCCTTGTGTTATCTCGAAAATAGTATGTTTTGGGGCTTAAAAATGCAGGGTCCGATACTTCAGCATGTCATGCTGTACGCATCAAAATCTTCAAAGCCCACTTTGTCCAGTATCGATCTACAGACTTACCACCGTTCCAGTTGAAATTGAAGCCTAGCAAAATGTTTGTATCCACATTATTTATTTTATAAATAAAAACAAAAGCGGATAATACGATTCGCTACCGATGTTCGGGATTTCTCATTTTTCCCGTTGAGTTGTGATAATTTTTCCATTAGTTGAATAGTACAACCTTTAAATATGGCTCGCGGTAGAGTAGGTTGGGATGAGAATCGAAGTAACTGCCTAACCGGGATCTCTAGACAAATTACTCAAGAATTCATAACTTTAGTTCTACTCAATATTTTGTTTTCATTTAAAGCCCATGTTTTAAGCCAAGAAACCCTAAATATAATGTTAAATAAATCAAAAGTCTACAATAAGCCATTGCTGAGCTTAGCCCTGACAAAATTTCGTTGCGATGTGAAAATACAGACTGACAAAAAATTTGTTAAAAGTGGATTTGGTGTCTGCAATGTATGAAACTGAAAGGTATCATAAAAAGGGTTGATTCTAAATGTACAGACAAAACCTTTATTTTATTTATATAGATTGTTTTATTTATAATTATTTAGTCGTAGCGCCACTAGAAGCCCAAAGAATTGAAAATTACAAAACCTCTAGCAATAAAGTTTCATGATTTCAAATAAAAGAGGAGATTCAAATAAAGCTGAGCTTAAAACTTTTTAAAAAAATACTTACCTTTTTAATTCTGAGAGGAGCGAACAAGATGTATCTGGAAGCTACAGAAAAAAACAAACATATTATTATTTTAAAAAATCATTGGGTTGATTTAATTTTGTGATCTTAATTATATAATTCTGGTCTATATTAATTTATTCCATAACTTATTAATGTTACCATCCTTATAAACATTTGTTTTATAAATAATTTGAAGTTGATGAGCGAATCAAAAAATAATATTTAACATCAAACGTTAAAAAAAAAACACCCTTAGTTCATCAAACTGCTCACTGAACATGAAAGAAAACGTGGAGAGGATTCTTTCTTTGTGTGAATATGTGAAACGTAAAATTAAAAGATACAATATTTTTTGCCTCTGATAGTAAAGAAAAACGACAATTTAGGATTCCGAGTCCAATTTCAGTTAGTTATTTTTAAAAAGTTTGGTTTAGGAGTTGTCACTGGATATAATGATATTAACAAAACAACAAATGACTAAACAAAGATCAACATTCATGACCAATTATAATGATGAAATAACCTCACCTCTGAAATGATTTTTTTTTTTTAATACCAACAAAATTTGATCTAAACAAATTGTATTACTCCGCCTTCAAAAAAATACTTAATATTATTTACAATTCCTTTGTATTTAGGTCTTTAGTAATTGCCTGTCTTTAGTATGGCAATTACTAAAGACGCCAATTTTCACCACTATAAAAATGGATAGTAAAGAAAAAGGTAATAATAATAATATCTACAAAGCTTCTAAAATTCGTATGTCAAGAAATAAGTACTAGCAATTAAAAGGTATTTTCAATGGATTATTGAATGAAAAACTCTTATAAGTTTGAATATTAAGGAAAATTATTATTATAAGAACTACAATTATAAATATACGCTTTTAAATTGAAACGAAAATTATTCCAATAACCTTGGAAGGAAAATTAGGAGCGATAATAATTCCAGAACTCTTCCTACATAAAGAATCACAACTTTTAAAATCAAGGAAAACAGTGTGAGGACCACGCCCATCTGGCCGAATATATAACCACTCCAAATTCAGCTTAGAGTCAGACTTTAATCAGCCAGTCAAACAACACAGACCTACTCGACATGAACAAGTTGGTGAGTTACTAAATATTGATGCTAGTACCGCTATTTAATCAGGCTTGCTACCTCGACAATGGTCACATCTCGATTTTGTAAACATAGCATTATTTCTGTTAATAAGAAAATATAATTTGTTTTTGAAGTTGTTAATGTTTAAACGACGTAGATGTTATTTATTTCACTTTTGAATTACTTGATATCGGAAATATCAGATAAATGAATTAAAATTTCTTTCCATCTTTAGATTGAAGTTAATAAAAATTGAAAAGTTTAGTTAGTACATTTATTTGTATTTATTATTATTTTTTAGGTGGTGTTGTTTTGCGTTGCCTTAGCAAGGAATAGCTTGGCTAGCCTAGGGCATAATGAAGTTTCTCTCAGTTACGGTGCTCCAGCAGCACTTAGCACCCTCACAGGCTCAGCCTGGACCGCAACCCAAAGCCACGCTACTGCACCTATCTGGGCAGCTAAGACATACAGCCATGCTGCAGCTGCCCCAGCAATCTCTACTGCATCACTTTTGACCGCTAAGACTTACGCTGCAGCACCTGGTCTCGTTACTTCACCACTTTTGACAGCCAGGAATTATGCTTCATCGCCAGTTGTCTCCACATACGCTTCTGCTGCACCACTGTTGTCAGCTAAGACAATCGCTGCAGCTCCTGCTTGGACCGCTGCCCCAGCCATCGCCACCGGTTACGCAGCAGCTCCAGCAATTGCCACCGGCTACGCTGCAGCTCCAGCAATTGCCACAGGCTACGCTGTTGCTCATGGCATCTCCACCGGATACGCTGCTGCTCCAAGTATTGCCACCGGATATGCTGCAGGAGCTCCAGTTGTCGCCGCTGCTCCGATTGCTGCAGTTGCCACAGCTGCACGTCTCGCTACTCCAACCACCTTCACTTCTACTGGAGTTTCCATCGAAAAGAACATTCACTATGGCACTAAATCTGTTGTAACGGGTTATACAAGCACCGTCCACAAACCCAACTTTGGTGCTCTTGCCACACCCCTCGAAACTGTTTCAAAACAATCCGTTATTGCTGCTGGTAGACAGGTCCAAACTATTATTCCTCAGGTAACCAAAGTTGAACCCGAAGTTACCGTAAAGAAAGTTCCTTACGATGTCCCCGTACCAACCCCTGTGGTATCTGAAGTCGAGGTTCGCACCCCTGTCGTACGTGGCCCCGCTGTAGCCATCGCTCCAGCCGTTGCAGCCCCAGCAGTTGCTTCTTATGCTGCCGCTCCAGCCATCGCCGCTGCTCCAGCTTGGACTGCCACAAATACTTATGCTGCCGCTCCAGCTTGGACTGCAACTAAAACTATTGCTGCTGCCCCAACTTGGACTGCTACTAAGACCATTGCTGCCGCTCCAGCATGGGCTGCTGCCAAGACTTATGCTGCTGCCCCAGCATGGACTGCTACTAAAACCATTTCTGCTGCTCCAGCTTGGACCTCAACTAAGACCATTGCTGCAGCTCCAGCTTGGGCCGCTGCCAGCACTTATGCTGCTGCTCCAGCTTGGACTGCAACTAAGACCATTTCCGCTGCTCCAGCATGGACAGCTATTAACACTTACGCCGCCAGCGTCCCAGCCCTATCTGTTGCACCAGCTCTAAAAGTTGCCACACCATCAATTGCCATTGCACCACATCTCAACGTAGCTGCAGTCCACACCCCATCCGTTATTGACTCAACCCACATTAAAGCTAAACAGTGGTAGTGAATTGAAGTTTTTTTGTATATAAAGACTGATATTGAATTATGAACGATGATACAGTTCTTAGTTTTGTACAGATCTAATGAATAGATTTTTTATGAACCCTAAATGATTAAAGTCTCATATTTATGTAGTAAATAGCATTTTTATCAATCTAATAACCCCAAACTAGCTCCTAATGATATATTGTTTTTAATTGTAAATAGAAAGATTATATTAACAGCTCTTAGATAATTTAACTGAAATCCATAAATAATTTTATACTGGTGGCTTGCAATTTTTAAATCTGCAGAGAATGGTAATTTTGCACAGTAATAAACAGATCCAGAGAACATCTATTCCCCACATCAGTTCATTAATTTTTCGTGATTGAAAGACAAGTTTTACAAATGATAAGAAAAATATTAACAGAAGTAACAAATTATCCAAACCGCATAATATGAAATCTAGATTAAAATAATTTGAACTCCTGGTAACCAACGTAGGACGTAAGACATTGATACAAATTATTGAACTTCTCTACCAAAAAAAGGATGCCTTACAACCCGAGAGGGGCAAATCTGAGTACTGAGTACCATGAATTTTACTCAAATTGAATCACTATTGGGAAATCAATCACTACTTGAGTTAATCGTTTGACATCAACTGAAGTAGTTATTAAATGCTTTGGTACTCAAAAAAGGTTAGTATTTGGTATTCAGTATTCAGAGTAGCATTTGTCCACCTCTACTTACAATGCTACATTTTTCCTATTTATAAAACTGTTAGAAGTAACACTGCTTCACAGCAAAAAGTGAGTCCAGTGGATAGATTCAGAAATTATCTCTGATAGTCGTAGAGCACACTTGCAACCCAGTCGAATTCCATACATATAGATGTATATAAAGGTTTATATATATATTTTTACGCATATATAGAGAGTTTATATACACACACATATATATGCAAAATAATAGATGAAAAAGGCTAAAATACACACTTCTTTATATATATATATATATATAATAATATATATATATAATATATATATATATATTAATTATTTATCATCAAACTAATATCGCAAACTTTCTATCTCCTGCTCCCTGTTACCTGAACAACGCATATTAAGGAGAAAATGGCCAAGAGAGCTACTATATCAATAAAAACCATATCAAGCAAATAGACCAACAGTACAAACACAACAAATTTGCTAGATGCGCAGCCACGCAGATGCAAATTGCATAAAATATAAATAAAAAATATCGCAAAACAATCTATCTATATTAAGTATAGTAAAAACTCAACATCCACCAAATGAAGTGTGCCTTGTTATAATATGCATCGTACATGCAACAATCACTTAAATAAATTCTCTTAGGGGTTACCATAGAAGGAAAATAATTTTAACAAAGTATATGATTATATATAGAAGTCCCATCTCCCAAATATAAAAATAATTATTTTTTTTCTCATTGTCTCTTATTTGTTTCTGTGCATAATCTAAGCTAAATACCTCATCAATTACAATATGCTCTATTTTTAAATTATAATACATAGTTTATTATTATTTTTTTTTGGTTGACTCTACAGACCTTGTAGATCTTTGGCTGCCTGAACGAGCCTTCTCCACCTCTGCCTACCTTGAGCTACTGCTTTCCAGTTTGCGGCATGAAGCTCAGTCGTATCTTTGTTTATCCTATCAATCCATCTGGTTTTTGGCCTCTTGACTACTACTCTGACATTCATTGCCATGTAAAGGCGTATTGATGGATTGCTACGAGCTACATGCCCTGCCTATCTTAACCTCCTTGCCTTCATGTCATGAGATAATGACTGACCCTTTTCTTTTAGCAGTTCTTTACAGTTCCTTCTCCTCCATGTGTCAAGGTTCTGATCCCATATAGGTCCTGTTATCCTACGTAGAAGTTTTCTTTCGAATCTCTCAATTCTGGCTTCTAGTGTGCCGGTTAGAGCCCAGGTTTCACAACTGTACAGCAGAACTGGCTTAATCACGACGTTGTACACCCTTCAGTACCCTTGAAAAAGAGAAGAAAGATCTGTTTGCACTTGTTATTCGTTGCTTTATCTCTATTAGTTGATCATTTATTGAAGTTATTGTGGAGCCGAGGAATTTGAATCTGTCTACTTTCGTGAATGACATAGAGTCCAAACAGATCATGTTATTAGGGTGAATGTTTCGGCTAACTGTCATGTATTTTTTTATCTACTATAATAAATATATATATATATATATATATATATATATATATATATATATATATATGCATCATCATCATTAATATTAGGTATAAGCCTAAAGCGGTCAGTAGTTCCAGCAAATCGACTCCGCAGGAACATGCAATATGATATTAACTATCTATTTCCCTAATCTGTATATGGACATCATTTTGTATATAGCATCACTTGAAATTATTGGACTATGAATTTTCTATTATCTTAAAAGAACTTCACAAAAAAAAAAATAAGAAGTCAAGTACAAAATATGATGTATAGCATATTTCCATCAATATTTCAATATGTATTATCTATTAAAGCCAATGGGAGTTAGACTGGCCATTATTTTATAAGAAAATATGATTTTATATACAATATAGTTCGAAATTCAACTAAATAATCACATAAATTAGATTTCTACTGAAATTTTAATCAACTCATTGTATTAAGTAGTGAATAAATATTTTAAAATCTTACGAAACAGAACTATAAAAAAAAAAAAATCAAAATTTCTTTCTTAGATAAATTATATTTAAATTTAAAAATTAAACATATTATTTAAAAAAATTAAATTATGTAACTTTAACACTTATATTTTAAAAAATTGGAAGAGGTAATTAAGTAAATAACATATACAGTGGTGGCCTCAGACATTTGATGCCCCTGGACAATTGGGTCATGAGCTTACCGTTCTCACTCCAAAAAACTTAATATTTGAATTGTATTTCATTCAATGTGTCCCTGATTCAGTGTCTTTATTGATAGGCTAAAATTAATTCTAATGAAACTTTTTATATTTCTCAACCATTGACAAGCTCTTGTTGGCAGCACTTGGGCATTCGCCCGTATCGTTCAGCCCTAAGTCTGCCACTGAATATTTATAAGCATAATATAGCTCATCGCTCAGGAGTGTACACAGATTGATGTGTATGCAGTCATCTTAATAAACATACATATTCAAAATTCAAGGAGTAACCACAATAAAGTCCATCAAATTGGCATAGGTGAAACCCTGCTACAATATGTAGAGCTTATCTTCCCTTCTTGATCAATAGTAGTAGTTATGGTAAGTAGTTTTCTCATCTATACAGAGGAACTTATTAGGCCTTCATGAACTTTTAATAAGTTTAGCCTAACTTGTTTATGAAAAATTTCCTCGTTTGCCGTTATAGGTGATTCCAGAAAAATTCAACCATGCTTAATGTGCAAAACCGTCATATAAAAAAAATTATAATCATTGTGAATATTTGAATCAGTGATGAAATTGAACAACCCAAATCTGAAATGTCAGTGGTTTTCGAATCCTTCTTCTATAAAATTGGATTTTTAAAAACAGTGCAATTTTTGAGTACCTTTTGCTGAATAATATTATATAGTTTAGGTCCAATCAATATTAGAATAGTTATTTTTTGCTATCCTATTTTCTTATTCCTAAATTAAACGCTTAGTTGAGGTCTGATAGGTTATTTATTCAAATATTAATTGATAGAATAAGCTAAGGAGACGTGAATTTGGGATTCACTTCAAATAAAGTAATATTATCTATTACAAATTCATTTTAATTCTTTAAAGTTGATAAACAAAAGATTTTTTCTTTTAAATAAATTTACTTTTTTCGGTTCTTATTAAACAAATAAAAACTAACTACTAACATATACAATAGTAAAATTAAAACAAAATTTAGGTAACATTTTCAAGTATGCACCAATGATTTGCTAGGTACATTTTAAAAAAATAAATAATAGGATAAAATAACTTATTTCAAAATATAAAATAACTGCTTTCCAACAAATATTAATGATAAAACGTTATGAAAACTTTTGTCCAAATTATTCTTTTAAAAACAAATCTTACTTTTGTAATCAATAATAAACTTATTTTAATAAAATAAATTTTAACTTGAAAATTAAAAGACAAACTCGTGTAGGGTGCATTATCGAAATCACAAAAAGATCAAAGAAATCATTGGTGTGTTAACATGAACGAATAAGTGCAAAGTTTGATTTTTTTATTATTCAACTTAAGACAGCCAGTGAAGATCACTCCAATCCACATTAAATTGAATGTGCAATGACTATCAAAACCTTATGTGGATTTTTCAGAGTCAATTCCACTGGTCCTAAACTCCACCACCTCAGTCCATTATCCAATCATTTCAACCTACCATAAGTAAGAAAAACTGATGGAATGGAAAGATGAACTCCACAATTATTCACAGAATCTTATTTTCCAAGGGTAATAATAATAAAAATTGTTTATCAGTCAATTCAATTTCAAATAAAATAAAATATATGTCTGAATAACTTACAATTTTATTTATTTTTTCAGTATCTGTTTGTTTCAAAGTTACATTTTATAATAGCTTTAAATTTATATTATTTTTATCTTTTGAAATAAAAAGTTGAATTTGTTAATTAGAAGGAAATAAAATTTTCAGTTTAGATAAATTCTTTAAATTACATTACATATTCTTAATATTCCCACTGTACACATTATTTTTGAGGGAGAAGAATAAAGATTTAATTATTAAATGTTCTAACTATCTATATGCACATTAACTCTCAAGAATTATTTTAATCTGTACACTAAAATATTTATATATATTCTGTAAATATTTTAAATTATATAATACTAAGTTTTTCATTATATTAAAAATATCTATGACCAAAAGTGTCAACAGAGGTGTCCATCCCCATAGGTTGATTGCACACTCTCTCCTCTCCCCCAAGAAATTTTATAGATGTTCTCTTCTTAAACAACAGTGCAAGCGAAAGTATAATTAGAAAAATTGGAAATCTTTAGTGTATTTTTCTCTTATTTGTTGGTCTGGAGGATCCTTCAAATTGAAAGTTCTCACAAATGTGGTTCCCTCCAAAAATTCCTAACCCAGTCAAAATGATTCCCCTCAAAAATTCAAACCACATAAAAATGTGACTCCTCAAAAATTTTGATAGTG